GAGTAGCTAGGATTACAGGCGTGAGCCACCAGCGCCCGGCTCGTAGGGTTTCTTATACCAACAGCTCCCCAACTTTGCTGGCCAGCCCCTGGAGGTATTCAGGTGGTAGAAGAGGCCTTGACCTTTTTACCTTTTTTTTTTTGGTCAGCCATGGGGCTTGAACTGGTTGTGGTCGCTGTCCCTTAACTCTTCAGCTCAAGGTGAGTGTTCTACCACTTGAGCTACAGAGCCACTTCCAGTTTGGGGGTGGTTTATTGGAGATAAGAGTCTCACTGACTTTCCTGCCTGGACTGGCTTTGAACTATGATCATCAGATCTCAGCCTCCTGAGTAGCTAGGATTATAGGGGGGAGCCACCAGTGCCCAGCTTTTTTTTTTGTACTGGAAATTGAATTCAAGGCCTTGTTAGACAACCCACCCTACCATTTGAACTATAACCCTATAACCTCAACCTTCTGCCCACTTTTTTTTTTTTCTGAGACAGTCTCTCTTTGTGTAGACCAGACTGGTCTCACATTCTGAAACCTCCTGCTTCTCTACCTCCCAAGTTCTGGGATTACAGGTGGCTGCCACTATACCCAGCAAGAAGTGATGATCATTTTAGGAGCTGAGAAAGAAGGGCAGGCACAAAGGAGACATCAGCCTCTCTTAACTCACCTGTACCTCTCCATCTCCCAGGCGGACCTGAACTGGGGCCCAAGTGGCGAGGAGGCGGGGGCTGGCAGTGGTGGCAGCAGCGGTAGCAGCTTCTATGGTGTAAGCAGCCAGTATGAGAGCTTGGAGCACATGACCCTCACCTGCTCCTCCAAAGTCTGCTCCTTTGGCAAGCAGGTGGTGGAGAAGGTGGAGGTGAGGCTGGAGGGCTGGGCTGGGGGTAAGGGAGTGTCCAGATGCCCCCTTCTACAGATACTGCCTGGATAAGGAGTAATGATGGGCGAGCATTTGTGGGAGTCATGGTGGGGGGCAGCCCAGCCTCTCTGAGGACCCCATGATAGGCAGGGCTTGGGTCTAATATGGAGTGCAAGGTCATTCAGAGGCTGCACAGATTTAGTTAGGATGCAAAAGGTAAGGAAGATCAGAAGTCACGCTTGGGGCTACTGGGGACTTGGGGGGGAGTGTCTCAGATACAGCTTAGAGATGTCGCTGAGGGAACTTTGGAAGGCTTGAAAACTTTCACCTTTTTTGGTCAGGATTGAGGTTTGAACTCAGGACCATGTACTTGCTAGAGTCTTTTACTTACACACAGCTCTCTTCCAAGTCCTTTTTTTTTTTTTTTAAATCAGTCATGTGGCTTGAACTTGGCCTGGGCACTGTCCCTCAGCTCTTCAACTCAAGGCGAGTGTTCTACACTTGAGCCACAGTGCCACTTTGGGTTTTTCTGGTGGTTTATTGGAGATAAGAGTTTCACGGACTTTCCTGCCCTGTCTGGGTTTGAACTGAGATTCTCAGATCTCAGCCTCCTGAGTAGTTAGGATTACAGGCGTGAGCCATTGGTGTCCAGTCTTCTTTTTTTTGTGCCAGTACTGGGGCTTAAACTTAGGCATGGGCTGTGTCCCTGAGCTTCTTTTTGCTAGTGCTCTAGCGCTTGAGCTTTTTTTCTTTTCTTTTTTTGTAGATTAGTAGAAATAAGAATCTCATAGACTTTCCTGCCTGGGTTGGCTTTGGACTTTGGTTCTCAGATCTCAGTCTTCTGAGTATCTAAGATTACAGCAGTGAGTCTCCAATATCTGACCCCCAAATTCCTTTTGTTTTTTTTTTGGGGGGGATAGTCTTAAATTTTTACCTGGGACCAGCCTCAGACCAGTCTAGTTAGCTGAGACTACAAGCATGCATCATCACGCTTATTGGTGGAGATGTGGGGGGGGGGCGAGGAAGGGGCTCGCTTAACTTTTTGTCTCAGCCTCGAACCATGATCCTCCAGATCTCTGCCTCCAGGCTTGTGTTAATGCATTGGTCCAAGCCATCACTTTGAGACCCTGGGGAGGTTTGTGGGATGCAGACTCAGATATGGAGTCAAATACCTGTCCCTGGTTACTGAGGTTAGGGTGGGGGTGATGGGGTGGGGTATGGAACATTAGCCAAGAGTGCAACACTGGGAGCTCGGTTCTTGAGGTGACATGTGTTTCCCAGTCACTCTCTTTTCCACATCCTGCCCCGCTTTCAGACAGAGCGGGCCCAGCTGGAGGATGGGCGGTTCGTGTACCGCCTGCTGCGCTCGCCCATGTGCGAGTACCTGGTGAACTTTCTGCACAAGTTGCGGCAGCTGCCAGAGCGCTATATGATGAACAGCGTCCTGGAGAATTTCACCATCCTCCAGGTGAGGCATGGGGTGGGGCCAGACCAAAGCGGGGTCCTGCCATAAAGAGACCAGGAAGTCGCCAAGGGCATGGTCCCCTTCGCCTGGGAAGCTGAATACCCCCATGTGGACCCTTGAGTTCCCAGGGAATGTAGCCTAGCTGGGGTCACAGGATATAGGGAGTCCCTCTAACTATGGGAGCTGTGCTGTTTTGGGGCCCCTGAAATGCGGACACCTCCTCTCTTTGTGACATGGTGGTGAACCCACTGACTGAGCCATGATTCCCCATCTGATGTGAGCCCCTCCTCTTTTCCTGCCAACCCTTAGCTTGGGGGTAGTTTTCCCATTGCCTGGGAAGCAGACATCTTTTTAGTTGGAGAACCATGGTATATACTAGCTTTTCTAGGGGGTTGGAAAAAAAGTCTGTTGGGGAGGGCATCCCTTAACTGGGGAGGACAGAGTGGTCTTGTCCTTCCTTTTAAGCATATGTCCCTTCTCCTGCCAGGTGGTGACAAACAGGGACACCCAGGAGCTGCTGCTCTGCACTGCCTATGTCTTCGAGGTCTCCACCAGTGAGCACGGTGCCCAGCACCACATTTACCGCCTGGTCAGGGACTGAAGGGGGGACCCCAGAACCCCTGCCAGCATGAACCCTTCAGCCCTCCCCATGCTCTGTATTTGGGGAGGGGCTCAATGAAAAGGGGCTGACCTCAGATGCCTGAGCAGCTGGGACTGTCCCCAATTAGAAGGGACCCTTGCTCAGTGGCTGGGATGGAAGACAGACCCCAATATTGAGACCTCACAGGAGGTGTGTGGGAAAAGGACAGATCACTCCAAAGCTTTGGGGACTGGGGACTGGAGCAGCCTCAGAAAGAGTCCATACAACCTCTTCTGGAAGTTTTTTTTTTTTTTTTTTTTTGTCGGTCGTGGGGCTTGAACTCTGGGCCTGGGCACTGTCCCTCAGCTCTTCAGCTCAAGGCAAGCGCTCTACCACTTGAGCTATAG